ATTATCTCTTTGAGACGAGTTGGCTCCCTCCGGTATTCCCACGAGCTTCGACTCTTTGAGCCGGCTATGGGACTAATCCGGAGTGCGGGGGAACAGTGATGGCTAAAGGTTCAGCCCTCTCCCCAAGAATGCATTCAGCGGGAATCGAACACATATCTAACCCCACTAACTCAGCGCCAAATTACCAACTGAGCTGCACCCATTAGGTCAACTAGAAGCACTTTTCTCATCTAATGCTATATATTTTTTCTTAGTTTGTTGTATAATAGTATATAAATATGCAATATGTAAAAAATTTCCTAAAGTCAATCTCAATTAACATGGACAAACTGAACTCATGAACTCAAAATACAGACCTGTTGAATCTGTAGTTTTCGTGTTGATCGGAGCTGTTACGTGGAATGCGCTCATCTTCGCAAGCATTTTTGACTTTTCGCTATGTGTTTGCTATCTTTACAGGTCACCTATGGTTGACTTTGGCTCCGATAACGTGTCCTTTATTTAGGGCCGGCAAAATGGGCTGAGCCCGCCGGGCTGGCCCGCCCCGCCTGCCAAATGGGGCGGGCTGGGTTGAGTCTTTCAACCCACCAGCCCGCCAAACCCGCCCCGCCAAACCCGCCAGCCCATATGGGTCAGCCCGCCACGGGGCGGGCTAGCCCGCCAAGTCTTTTTTTTTTTTTTTTTTTTTTTAGGTTACCCAATTGTTATGTAGCTCCGTATCTTAGATTTCTCTGCTTGCAAGTGGCTTTTTTGAATTGTTGTGGACTGCTCATACAACACTTTGTTACTTGTTTTGTTATTCTATTTTATCCTGATATGATTTTATTTTTTTATTATTATTTTTGGATTGAAAGATGCATATTTATATGCAGATTATTAAACACTGATCTTCTTGGTTTCATAAGCACATTAGGATTTTATACAGATTTTTGTATGCTTTTATGCAGATTTTTTTATGTGATTTTATGCAGAATTTAATTTTTTGTATTTTATTTTTATATTTTTTTTATTTTAGGCGGGCTGGCCCGTAGCCCGCCAGCCCACTCATAAAACGGGCCGGGTTACTCAATTCAACCCATTTTATCAAAACGGGCCGGGATGGGCCAGCCCATTTTGGGCGGGCTAGTGGCAGGCCGGGGCGGGCTGGCCCATATTGCCAGCCCTACCTTTATTGTTCTGAATTCTGAGGTGCCTGTCTTTAGCAATTACATTCATGCTCAATTATGCAAGGACAAATTGGACGATTCTAATGATCACTCTTAGGCGTAGTACATTAAACTTTGGGTTGAGGGATAGGATTACACCAACCATTTCACCACCACTGGAAAATATGTTGTTGGTTGCATGTGGGTCTTTACGTCAATGTTGGTCCTAATAGTCAGGTGGACCGTCTCAAGGCTCAGTTAGATTATGGGGACACATTCTTCACTGTGACATTTGTTCACCTTTTTCTTAGAATTATTGATATTCGTCACTGACCTCTCTATCAGCTGGATATTAAGAATGTTTTTCCACATGGACATCTTGCAAAATAAGTACGTATGGAGCAACCTCCAGGGTTTGTTGCACAAAGGGAGTCGGGTTTGGTTTGTCGCCACGGCAAATCTCTATATGGTATCAAACAATCTCCATGTACTTGGTTTAGGAGATTTAGCACTGTTAGTCTGCTATTAAAATACTTGGTTTGACTCAGAGTGAAGCTGGCCACTCGGTATTCTATCGTGACTCAGTTTCAGGATCCATTTATTTGGTGGTGTATGTTGACAACATTGTCATTATAGGTAATGATCATCATGGCATTACTCAAGTAAAATAGCATCTCAACCATCACTTTCAGACAAAGAATCTTGATAAACTTTGATATTTCTTAAGGATAAGGGAAGCCCTTTCTAAGGATGATATTATGAAATCCTAGAGAAAGTATGCTATGGATATTCTTGAGGAAACGATTTTGTTGAATGCAAAGTCAGTTAACTCTCCTATGGATCCAAATTTCAAGCTTCTACCAAATCAGGAGGAGCCATTCTCCAATCCAGAAAGGTATAGAAGATTAGTTGCAAAGTTGAACTACCACACTGTCATTGGACCAAACATCTTATTTGTGGTTAGTGTACTGAGTTAGTTTCCTAACTCTCTTATTGAAAGATCACCGGAATACAATAGTTCGTATTCTCAATTACATCAAGTTAGCTCCAGTGAAAGATCTCTTCAATAAGGACAAAGGTTATACTAGAGTCATGGGATACTTAGATGCTGATTGGACAAGTTGTCATGCTGATAGGAGGTCCACCTCTAGATACCGTGTGTTTATTAAAGATAACTTAGTCTCCAGGAAAAATAAGAAATAAAGAGTGGTTGACAGATCGAGTGCTGAAGCAAAGTATCGCTCCATGACCACAACCACTTGTGAACTTATCTAACTAAAACAACTACTTAAGGAACTAAAGTTTGGTCACACTGAAGCAGCAACTCGCATTTGCGATAATCAACCTACCTTGTGTATTGCCTCCAGTCCAGTGTTTCATGAAAGAACTAATCGTATTAAAATATATTGCCATTTCATCAAGGATAAAGTCTTATCAAGAGAGATCATTACGTAGTTTGTCAACTTAAAAGATCAATTAACATATGTCTTTACTAAATCCTTGAGGGAATCTCGAATAAATGACATATCTAACAAACTTGGAGCTTATGATTCAGTTTGAGAGAGAATGTTGAAAGTATTATATATAAAGTAGTCTAGTGTATAAGACAAATTCCCACATCATGCGATTTTCTTGTATATCTTTTTTTACTCGGTTAAATAATAGTTCCTCTGTTGGTATCTAAGGCATGCAGATTACCCCGTAACAAAGGGTTATGTAGGTATTGCAAAAAGAGCTCAAAAATTCTCCTGTTACACGGTTACGGGGATGAGGAGGAATACTACGCAAAGAATTGCAAAATTATTTAAATATAACCCCAACACAGAATAACACAATGGCTTTATAATTATAGAAGTGCCATTAATAAAAGTTACTTGTTCTACGTGTTTTAAATTTTTTTAGAAAACAAAATTAAAAATCAAAACAAAAACATGTTAAGAGTGTTCTCTAATTTTAGTTCTAAAAACAAATAAATAGAAATTTTTTAAAAAATCATTTTCATAAAACACCTTACATCAAACAAGTTTTTTTATTCTTAAAATAATTTTTTTCCTAAAACAATAATCAACTTTCCCTTATTTACTTCTTCGTGTTCTTAGATGAATTGGATTTGCGTTGGCTAGCTTACTAGTAAGCTGAGGTCTAATCAATCAAGTTATGCGACGTAGCTTGGGACACTGGTTCTTGTGCCTCTTGTCTCATGGAATACCAGGATTTGAAGGGTTTCATGCTGTATCTATCCTAAACCTCACTTGAAAGATTCGATTAAGGCAACTTTTGTGCAGAGTTCCACATCACTTCGTATTCATTACAAATTTTTTTTTTAGGGAGAAAAAAATGAGAGATGGTCGGTCATCTTAGTTTCAATCCTGTATATATTTCACTTTTACTCTCTTTTTAAGCGGAAAGTGTACTCTTAGGAACATTTCCCCATTTCAGTTTGACACTCATTCCTCCTACTATACATATAAAAAACAATTTCCACTCTCCACTTCTTATCCTTTCTTCATTTTCTTTGCTTTCTGTTTTCTTCCCAAGGCTCTATAATTGGTTAACTAACCAGACAACATTGAGGGAGCGTTTGGTACAGGAGAAATTTTTTTGTGTCCGGGAATCATGAATACTGGAAATGTGTTAGGAATGTAAATTTTCTGGGAATGTGACCAAAAAGTTGTTTGGTAGGCAAAAATATTACCGGGAATATTGGTTAAAAATTACTGATTCTATGTTTGGTTGATTGTTAAATATTACTGGGAATCTAACATGATTTTACAAAATTACCCTTTATTTTCTTACACATCAAACCCAGAAATGGAAATCAAGATTTTTCAGTCCTAATCGAAATGGAAAGAGACAAGTACCACTGATGAAAAGAACTGAAAAAAGAAGCGCCCCTTATTTCACGAATCGAGAATGTGATATTTAGATCTGGTGGAGATGATTTTGAGAAGAGACTGCAATGTATTTCTAAATGAAACTTCAGTTGTGAGTAAAATGAGCAAGAGATCGTCGTTATGGAGGCGAATTTCTCAGCAAAATTTATTAAATTTCTATTATGTTTTCATTGTTATAATCATCCTCATGATAGCTAAAAATATCCGAAAGGAAAAGGAAAGACTTCAACTTTATCTCCTTGTTACGAAACAAAACTGAAAAGAGAAATAATAATAGGAATAGATGCCTGGAGGAAGAAAGCATCTAACAAAGGGTATTATTGTCCCAAAAATAATATCAACTTTTTTCAATATCAGGATTCCATGAATACCAACTTATTTGTGGTATTTTTTGGTTGGATTTTGCTTCCACTTTTACACTACAAATGAAATTCCGGGAAACTAAGTTTCATTGGATAATTTTAATTTTTATGCTACCAAACGTTGCATTTTAAGAAAGCCAACCTCTTTTTCCTGGGCATTTAAAAATAATCCCTGTACCAAACAGGCCCTGACAGACGAAGGAAACTTGGCTTGATGTTTGTTCCACATCTATTTCATTTGCAGAGGAAATTGTATACCAAATTTCATAAAATTCGCAACACATGTAATGTAACCACAAAAGTTAATGTGATTATGTCAAAAACAATTAAATTTTGGACATATATTAAACTTTAAACTCTCTTTTTCATCAGCATAACATTAGAAAGCAATAGAAAGTGCAAATCAATTCCAGAAGATCAAAAAATTAAGATAGGAATTTGATTTATATTCATAATGATTTATTGAAGCATAACCAAGCCAATGTTTTCTCCAGATGCAGAGAATCCAGATCAAATAGTAACCAAGAATTTGTGCATACCATCCTCTTAATGGATAACTTTATGAATTCCAGAAAAAGTGTAGAGAGAGAATATTAAAATTCATAAAGACAACTAGTATTTGTAACCTGTAACTTTATATTCCAGGATCACAAATACGATCCTGATCAGATCAATCAATTAGTAACAAAGAGAAGCCTCTCGTGTAACAACCTTGGAGGAAGGAACTCACCTCAATCATTTACAATGATCTTGTCTCCTCAAGGGATACATCACTGGCTTTTAAAACTGGTGCACTGGATTGCAGATGAGAATCATGAAGTACTTTTTGACTATTAACCAGAATTCACAATAATTACAACATATCTTTGATAATATCAAGGTTTAGGGTATCACGAATAAAAAGGAACAACCCCAGAATTATAACAAGCATAATTCCTGAAGACATGATCCGTTGCTCCACTTCTAGAGGTAGCTTTCTCCCACCCCTGGCAGCCTCAATGAGGATCAATGCCAATGTTCCCCCATCTAAAGCAGGTAAAGGAAGAAGGTTTATAACCGCAAGGTTAATATTGAGTATGGCTGCAAATTGGTAGAGACCATCCAAGTTTGACCGTGCAACTTCTGCACCAACAGCAATAATGGCTACAGGACCTGAAACCTTACCAGCTGACTGAGAAAAGTTTAAAAAAGTCTGCTTCAAGCCATCTAAAACATGAGATGATAGACCCCAAAATTCTTTTGCAGTAAAGCTCATAACTTCCACCAAATTTTTTGGTCTAACCTTACCTATCTTCATATTTGGTGATAGCTGAACTCCAATTTTACCAGTTCCATCATAATTCTCATCTGGGGTGACCCCTATTTCAAAGTTCTGCTCCCCTCTCAAAACCTTGAGCAACACATATCTCTTGGGGTTCTTCTTGATGATATCAACAACTTCAGAAACAGCATTAGGACCTGGTTTAGGGAACTCACTTCCATTGACTTCAAGGATCACATCCCCAGGAAGCAACCCATCTCTAGAAGCAGCTGAAAAGGGTCGAACTTCAGGCACAATAACCCCAGGAAAGACCTCTTGCACAGGCAAACCAACCGCAAGGACTTGAACAAAGATAATAACGAATGCAAAAATTATATTAGCAATAACACCAGCTGAAACCACAATGATTCTATCCAATATTGGTCTGTTCTTAAGCAAATTCTCATCATCAACAGGAATATCACTCTCGGGATCATTATCAGGAAACCCCACAAACCCACCAAGAGGAAAAGCTCTAATGGAATATTCTACATTCTTTGAATTGAACTTAGCTAAAATTGGACCAAACCCAACTGCAAATTTACTCACATGGATGCCTTGGAGAGAAGCAGCAAGGAAGTGACCACTCTCATGAACAACAATGATTGCTGTCAACACTGCAGCAGCCTCAAGCACAGACTGAGGACCCTCGAAGTTCCCATAATCAAATCCAGCAATAGCCCACGTCCTAAAATCCACCCTGTTCCCATGTGTGCATCTTCTATTGTCATGCAAAAACTGCTTCTTGCAAGTGAAGGTCGCGTTTGGGGTACCAAATGAAGGAGAAAAAAGTGATTTTGGGAAGTGGGCTTTGAGCTTGAAGGAAGATTCTGAGATGGGTGACTTTGAATTTGCCAATCTGATGATGGAACTGGAATGTGAAGGTGGAGAGGGTGTGAGGTTTATGACCATGGCTTCTGAGAATTTCGAGGGGGTAATAAGGAGGAAAAGCTTGGTGCTTGTGTGAGAAAGGTGAACAACATAGAAAGCGTAAATGGATAATTCATGCTTTTCTTTTTTTCCTTATTCGTTTTTTCTAATTTGGATCTGTGGAGGAGAAGTGAGGGACATATCCCTCTTATTCTCCACAAGTTGTTCTCTGTCATGTTTTGATAATCTTTCTATCTATCTACAATCAGAAACCAAGCCCAAAGTAGCAATCTTTGTGCATTCATCCGGTTCAGACAGCTGGGCCTGAAATATTCCGGCTCAGACCCACATAAACCGATAAATGTAGAAAATGGGCCCATCTCCAAGAACTTGTTTCGCTTAAGAAAATCTGAGTTTATAATGTATTCATGACCAAAATTTTTTTGTTTTAGGATGCTTTATGCTTGATTAATTCCTATGGATTTGGTGGGAATTAGCTTTCAAATATGCTTTTGTTTTATTCATTTGTTACTTTCGCTTTATTTCTTTATGGTGGTTGAAAGAAATATATTCATATGAAGTGGCATATATAGTTTTGCCATTTGTAATTTGTTGACATCATTTTCAAATTTATAAAAAAACTTAATATCATAATCAGAATATGAAGCGTGACTCAATTAATTTAAATTAATAAAGTTGTAATAAGTCATGAATGACAAGTACATTTTGTTTTTGAGCAATAATAAGTAAATTTGCATATTTTAACTATCGCTTGTTTTATATCTCTATTTATTTTTATTTTTTTGGATTGAGGTTTTCAGTCTCACTAGTTTTATATTTAATGTTTCAAAATCCAACTTAGACAATAGGTTCATATATATATATATATATATATATATATATATATATATATATATATATATATATATATGGGTTTAGCAGATGTACAGTGACTACACCTAAGGACTGATGCAGTTATATAAAACTACGTTGTTTTATAGTGTGAAAGTATTAAATATGAGGAATTATAACCGTACAAAGATGAAAATAAATATAAAGCATTAAATATGAGGAATCATAATCATACAAAGTTGAAAATAAATATAATATTTCCATTTTCTACGATTAATTGTGAACACGAACTTCCTTTATCGCAAACAAAATGACGTAGTTTTTAGGTGACTGCACCAATGTTTATATGCAGTCACATTACAAATCATTTTGCCTGTATATATATATATAAATATATCACTAAAAGAAAATTGATATTTGCAGGCGGTTTAAGAATAATCGCTTCAGTTAAACCACCTCCAAATACCATTTAGAGGCGCTTCTTCAGCGCTTAAATTGATTCGAGGCGGTTGACGTAAAATCGTCTCCAAATGTACACTAGAGGCTGTTAAAATAATCGCCCCCATTGACCATTTAGAGGCGATTTAGGTATAACCGCCTTAAAGGCGGTTATACCTAAATCGCCTCTAAATGGTCAATGGGGGTGGTTATTTTAACCGCCTCTAGTATCTTTTTGGATGTAGTTTCATGTCAACCGTCTCCAAATGTAACAATTAGAGGTAGTTTTACTGTAACTGCCTTTAAATGGTAACTGATGGTGGTTATTTTAACCTCCTCCAGTAGACATTTGGAGGTTGTTTCACGTCAACCGCCTCCAAATGTATTTTAGAGGCGGTTATTTTAACATCCTCCAAAGCACATTTAGAGGCGGTTCGTGGCCTATCGTATAGGGAGATTCAAAGAGAAAAATCTCTTTGTTCATTCGTTGGATCGTCCTCAAATTTGGTCAATGTGTTGGCTATGATAAACAGATCCTAGATGTTGAATATATATATTGAACAACATATATATATATATATATATATATATATATATATATATATATTGAACAATATTTATATTTAAAAATATTTGATACTATAATGATATTTATTGATTGAGATCTTAATTTAGGAAATATCAATATAAACTGATTTATAAACACAATACAACTTTGCACTCGTTATTTCTCTCAAGTCACTCTTCTCTTTTCTCTTCTACTATTATACCTACAAAATAATTTCTTTCTTTCTTTTTTGTTTTTTTTATTTTTTGGTGTTAACATGCTATTCAATTATATGATATGATGCAACCATATTTCTTCTGTTCTTGGATTTTGTCACATAACTTTTTTTTCTTTGATTTATGTATTGCATATCGTACGAACAAGCATGAATATAGTTATATAAAGTTGATTGATTGGTAATGAGATATTTATATACCTGGGCTAAAAAATTTTAAAGTACTTATTATTACTATAGCACCCAACCTGGAGTGTAACCTGGGGAGGAATAGTGAAGTACGTTTATCTTTCACCTAAATTGTCACTTGAAGGCTTGGGTTAATATTCGGATCTTTGGCAACTTAATGAGATGAATCATCTCACCCCATTGGGGCTATTTTGCAGGTTTAGGAGATAGGTGTTCTACTCCTAATGAAGACTGTTGAGTCATGATATAGTTAGTATATAGATGGAAGCTTTTGATTTTTGAACCTTAATATGGAAATGCACTAGATGAAAACTATGATAAACAGATCCTAGATGTTGGCTATCATTGGCAATATTGAAGAAGTTGTTTGGTGTAGATATTTAAATGTTACAGCTCTTGAAACTTGGACATGTACATGTATAATACTGCTTAGTGGTTTTGGTGCTATGTTGGATAATATGCATCAAGTGTGGACATATTTTGTATAAAAAAGATATGTATATACGTACTGACACATGAGCATAGAAATAAAATTGTAGAAATGAGCTAGAAGAATATATGTAAACCAGATTGATATATTATGTTTTCACCATGAAACCGTGAATGTACATATATGTGTATTTCAAATGCAAGTGATAGTAAGTAATTATTGTTGAATACGTAAAAATGATACAAAGTAATTATGAAGGAATGGTTTACTAGAGTGGTTGAACCATCATTGTGTCTATTGCCTAAATGAGGCCAAATCAAGTGTGGGAAGAATAGAGAGCCAAACACAGCAAAAACTTTAAGGATCTCTGCATAATTAATTTTTCTTTAAAAAAAATATCTAATATTTTTCGTGCAGTATTTGAATCCTCTTCTATAATAATAGGAATTTGAATTCTTTTCGAAAGGGATTTGAATTCTTCCTTGAGAAAAAATGAATCTATATGTAACATTCATTTTATGAATATGAATGGCTCTATTTCTCATTCATATATATTGAATTGCTATCCAAATATGTTATTGGTTAAATAACGCTTTAAAAAAAATTAAGGATGGCAAGTGGTGCTAGGAAACATGATAATGTAATTCATTGGATATACACGGGACGTTACAATTATGTTGTAAATAATATTGATTATTTAGTTTTTATTTAGTCATTTATTGTTGTATTGGGCCAAGCCCTTTGTTGTTTTGGGCCAAGCCCATTAGGTTAAAAGTAGGTCAAATATTCTCTATAAATAGAGAACCCCTTGAACACATTATTTACAATTCTATAATATATTAGAATACCCTTTTTCAAGTTGGTATCAGAACTCTCGATCTGAGGGCTTTGCTTCCGCACATATTATCTTCTTTTTTAACAAAACCCTAATTTCTTTGCCTCTTGCCGCCATCAGCCGCCACCGGAAAATTTTTCCGGGGACCTTTTGGACCAAGGGGACCATTGTTGACCTTATTTTTCCTCCGATCTATCATTCTACGCATTGTTCCTCCGCCACAAACGACCGAAACACCTCCGACCGCCTCCAATCAGATCTGTCTTCACTGTTTGGACCACTTTCCGGCGACTTTTCAACCGCGACCACCCACAGACAGGTGCGCGCTCACTGGACGACCACACCAGAAAAATCTCAGCCGGCGAAGCCCATCCACGCGCTCTCACGCGCCGCCCCTTTCCCGGCGAGTGAATCCCACGCGCAGCTCCTTTCTCCGGCGCGTGGAGGCGCGTACGGCCGTGTTTTTGGACCGGACCACCACCATTCTTCTCGTCTTCTTGTCTTCTGTCTGGATCTGTAATTATTTTTCTGATCAGAGGTCATTTGATATTTTGTTTGGTTGATTTTATCGCTGGTTGTTAACTTTTTTTTTTAAAGAATGGCCGAGCATGATAGTTCTTCGATCTTATCTGGTAAGAGCACACGTTCTATATCTCTTCTTGCTTCTTGCACTGATTTTAAAACCTCATGGATTTTGGATTCTGGTGCAACTGATCATATGGCTTGTCGTACTGAGTTGTTTTGTTCTTATCATCCTACTGTTGGTAGTCATACTATATCCGTAGCTGATGGATCCCATAAATCAGTTATTGGTTCTGGTAACATTCAAATTCAACCTTCCTTGTTTCTTAAAAATGTTCTTTATGTTCCTCAGCTTTCTACTAATCTTATCTCCACTCAAAAACTTACAACTGATTTGAATTGTTCTATCACATTTTTTCCTTCTCATTGTCTTATTCAGGATCTTACCACGAAGAAGACAATTGGAGTTGCTAATGAACAAGATGGGTTGTATCATCTCCTTCCAGACCATGCTAGCAAAAATCAGTTATTAATGACACGTCATCCTTCTACTGCAGAGTCTATGATTTGGCTCCATCACAAGCGTCTGGGGCATCCACCATTTAGTCTTTTGAAGTCTATGTTCCCCTCTCTGTTTCTCAATAAGTCGGTTGAGACCTTTCAATGTGATGTTTGTGAATTTGCAAAACACCATCGAGTGTCATTTCCTTCTAGCACTATTAAAAGCAGGGAACCTTTTTCTCTTATCCATTCTGATGTTTGGGGCCCTTCTAAAGTGCACAGTGTTTCAGGTGCAAGGTGGTTTGTTTCTTTTATTGACGATTGTACTCGGATAACATGGATATACTTGATGAAAGACAAGTCTGAAGTACCAGAGATATTTATTCGGTTTCATCACATGGTTGAGACTCAGTTTGGTAAGGGTATTAAAAGACTCAGATCTGATAATGGTACTGAGTACGTCAATCGACGCCTGTCACAATTCATTTCAGACAAAGGTATGATTCATGAGCTCACATGTGTTGATACCCCTCAACAAAATGGGGTTGCTGAAAGGAAAAATCGTCATCTTCTTGAAGTTGCTAGAGCACTACTTTTTCAGACATCTGTTCCTAGTTCTTATTGGGGAGAAGCAGTATTAGCTGCAACTTTTTTGATCAAC